GACCTGCACAGCAGAGGTGATGTCTGAGGCCAGAGAGAAAAGCACCCGAAAGATACAGCAAAGCCAACAGGATCTGGGAGGATGAAATGGAGGAGATAGAGGACTGACTACGGAGACAAAGCTGGATTTGGGTGTCAAGTAGGAATTTTCTAAGAATATGCCCTGAAGATATGGATTGAAATATGATGATACATCTTGACAGAGATGAGAATGTAATTGGGTTTCTTTTGTGGAATTATAAGTAGGGCATCAAAGAGACATCCTTCCACTCTTATCCAGCTGCAGACCCATGGGCATTCAATAACGACCCTTAACTAAATCCCTGTCCTGTTCAGAGAAGCCCAGCACCAAGCAGGAGTTCACCCCTACTCCGTGGAGGCCTGGGCCTTAAAAAGTCTTTGGGATGGACATCATTCGCTGGAGAAGTGGAAGCAAAGGTCTCGGCCACTTAATCTAAATCCCTCTGCAGAACTGTTTTGGTCTGCTCCTGTTGCTATAACAAAATACCTTAGACTGGATAATTTATAAATAATAGAAATGTATTTCTCATAGTTGTGGAGTTCGAAAGTCCAAGATCATGTGATAATAGATTTGATGTCTGGTTGGGGCTCACTTTCTGCTTCTAAGATGGCACCTTGTCCCTGCATCCTCACCTGGGGAAAGGAGTAAACTCTGTCCTCATGTGGAGAAAGGGCACAAAGGGGGATGAACTGGCTCCCTCAATCCCTTTTTTTTTTTCTTTTTGGCCAGAGCCGAGATTGAACCCGCCACCTCTGGTATATGGGGCCAGCGCCCTAATCCCTTGAGCCATAGGTGCTGCCCCCTCAATCCCTTTTATAAGGTCACAAATCCCATTCACAAGTTAATCACCTCCCAAATGCCCATCTCTTAATACTATCACCTTGGGGTAAGTTCCAACATATAACTTTAGAGAGACACCAGCATTCAGGTGTAGTGAGGACCCTAAAGGAAAGAGATGCTTAACCCTTAATGATCAGTCTAACAGAGGGCCAGTGTTTTCTACTGGAAAATGGAGCCATAACTACATGATACCGAAATGTCAAGAAGCTTCTTACTAATTGGACATTCAACAAAAATGTACTCGTGTACCCCAAATTCTCTTTGGGTTATCCTTTTTTTCTTGAGACAGAGTCTTGCTTTGTCATGCCCAGTAGAGTGCTATGGCATCATAGCTCACAGCAACCTCAGATTCTTGGGTTCAACCAATCCTCTTGCCTCAGCCTCCCGAGTAGCTGGGACTATAGGTGCCTGCCACAATACCTGGCTATTTTTAGAGACAGGGTCTTGCTCTGGCTCAGGCTGGTCTCGGACTTGTGAGCCCAGGCAATCTGCCTGCCTCGGCCTTCCAGAGTGCTGGGATTACAGGCATGAGCCACCACACCAGGCCTTGGGTTATATCTTTTAAAAATAAAGATAATCGGGCACAGCAGAAGAATATTCCATGAAATACACCATAAAACATATGCAACCTGGGAATTCTCTGCCCTGGGAATGTACCCAAAGAGGGTACATTCACCCATTGTTAGTTGGTTCATTTCCAATCTCCCGGTCCCCTCCTACCTGAAAGTATAACTTTTCATAGGGTGATTCATAGTTAAGTCTCTGCATTAGTGGAGACAGGGTCTCATCTCCTCACAAACAGGGCCAATCTCTTGTGTTGCATGCATGGCTAGTGTCCCATTACAGCTTCTCCACGACTTAGCTCTCATTATTCTTTTTTTTTTTTTTTGAGACAGAGCCTCAAGCTGTCCCCCTGGGCAGAGTGCCGTGGCATTACAGCTCACAGCAACCTCCAACTCCTGGGCTCAAGCGAGTCTCCTGCCTCTGCCTCCCAAGTAGCTGGGACCACAGGCGCCCGCCACAACGCCCGGCTATTTTTTTTGGTTGCAGCCGTCATTGTTGTTTGGCGGGTCTGGGCTGGGGATTCGAACCCGCCACCTTAGGTGGCTGGCGCCTTAGCCGGTTGAGCTATAGGTGCCGAGCCAGCTCTCATTATTCTAAATGAGTATTTTCCCATGGCACACCAAGAAGGGAGGAACAAAACCTCTTCTCTCTCTTTGAACAGCCCAGCTATTCCTTACCCTCAACACATTCCAGAGACAGGTGGCCTTGCTACCTAGGTCTTGTAACAGCCTCCTGACAAAACAGGGCATTAGCAGAGTGACTTTTCAGTGGTGAGGAACAATGAAGATGAGATAAATTTGACTGATTTCGATATTGCTTTGTCAAGAGCTTACCAAACCTTTCAATGATTTCCATACTTGAGAAATAGAAATTGTTCATTTGCAGATTGGCGCAAGCTTCAAGATTATTGTTTTAGTTCTTCAGTGTCAGCTACAAGAACAGGATAATGCCCTGAATGTCATGCAGATTCATTCCATCTCAGAGTTATCTCCGAGGAATTCATGATTTATTACACACTGCCACTGTACTGAAGTTAATTATGTGTACATATTATCTCTTCTGAGAGGTCAGAGACAAAAGCTATTGACTCTTTACCTTTAGGAAGAAGCTGGGAAATACAACCACACATACACAAATTCTCTCTCGCACACACATACACACACTCAAAGCCCAACACAATGCCTTTCCTACGATCGTAAAAAGTTCAATTCAATGGATGGTCCTCTTCGAAAGGCTTTCAAAGATTTAATGATAAAAGGAAAAACTGTCAACAAAGTTTGTGCCCAAAATTGTCAAACTTAGTTACACAGATATTCAGGCATACAAAGGGACAGGTAGAAGACAGTAAAGTGTTCATGAAGCTTACTGTGAATGGTAAAGCTATACGGTCTTTATTCACACTTTCTGATTTAATATATGCAGGTCCATAAATGTTATTCACCATATCAACAGAAGTAAAACCAAAGACTACATGATCCTCTCAATAGATGCAGAAAAAGCATTTGATAAATACAGCATCCTTTTTTAATTAAAACACTGAGGAGTATAGGCATAGGTGGTATATTTCATAAACTGATCAAAACTATCTATGACAAACCCACAGCCAGTATTTTACTGAACGGAGTAAAACTGAAAGCTTTTCCTCTTAGAACTGGAACCAGATAAGGTTGTCCTCTGTCACCATTACTATTCAACACTGTGCTGGAAGTTTTAGTCAATACAATTAGACAAGACAAGAAAATAAAGGGCATCCAAATAGGAGCAGAGGAGCTTAAACTCTCCCTTTTTGCTGATGATATGATCTTATTCCTGGCGAATCCCAAAGACTCAACCACAAGACTCTTGGAAGTCATCAAAAAATACAGTAATGTCTCAGGATATAAAATCAATGCCCACAAGTCAATTTCTAAGTATTTTTTATAATGTGCATGCATTATTACTAGGGTCAGGAAAATGTTTCTCTAACAAAGTTATACAGTAGAACCTTCACAGTTGCCCCCTCCCTATATTGACCACCTCCTTAAGTTGACCTAATTTTCATAGACTGGACATGCACCACATGTACATATCAGTACAGGAGGTTTAGTTCCTTATGTTGACCACCTGCCTATGTTGACCAGTTTGTTACAAACCCTTGAGCAGTCAACTTAGAGAGGTTCTACTGTATATCCAAATTGTTAAATCAGTCTATACATAATTCCCAATATGCTTAGAACATCTAAGATTGCCAGCGAGAGCTTAAGAGTTTAAAAGAAAAGAGAGAGAAGATGAAGATTATATTACTCTCTGTGTTTCCCTGAGGCCCCAAGATTTGCTGCCTTCTGAACATGACTTATTGGTCCATATGAGAAAGACTTCCCACTTCCACATCCTTCCAAATCTCCTGGGGCCCCCAACTACAGATGAGACTGAGTTTCTATCAGCAGAGGCAAAAGGCCCTGACACTGGGAAGATGATGGCCAGGGAATGGACACCTGGGGCTGGGCCCTACCGTAGCCCATAGGGGCCTGTAGAAAATTACAGAAAACTCCCCAGCAGATGAGCTTCGCCAGGTCCCTTCCTTGCCAGGCTTCTAGGCTTGCTGAGCCTGGGACTGGATTTCCTCCTCCCTCCACACTCTGGTGCCTTTGTACAGGGCATGAACTGCCATCCTAAGCTTCAGCCTGCCCAGGTAATAGGCAAATGCATGCGCAATACTGCTAGATCCTTGTCAGGTCTCCTCCACAGGGGCTGGACCATTTTGCATTCCCACCAGTAATGGAAGAGAGCTTCAGTTTCCCCACAGTCTTGAAAACACAGTTATCAAACTATTTTTGCCAGTTTTATGTCTCAGTAGAGTTTTTCTTGTCTTGAGTTTTATTTTTAACCATCTCAGAGGGGTGGCTATTTTAACTCCCACATGCTTGGAGTCCTCTTTAACTGTCATTGCCACTTTGAGGCCACTGTCCCCCACCCCTGCCCCAATCCCAGGCTCCAGCTCAGAATTTCAATTCGTCTGCATCACCCACTACCTCGTCACAAACCCCAGGTTTCTCTCCTACTTCTCCACAAGTTCAGCTTCTCAGTGCAGTCTTACCTTACACGCATCATATTTAGAATGAAACTAAACACTTACTTTATGATTACAAGCTATTTGCAATTTTTCTCTGTGAACTCTTTGTTCATATCTCTTGTTCATTTTTTATCAGCTCATTTATTTTCAAAGGATGAATTTACCCAAGGTAGAATCTCATAATAACAAAGTGAGCACCAATGAGAAATTCTGAATGCTAAAAATAACATTTTCTTCCTGTATCGAAACACAAGCAAATAGTTCTCCTGTTATTAACACTCATCCCTAGAACTTGTCATTAGCTGGAATGAAAAGCAAACTTGAGCAGCCATAGCATTAGAGGTTAGGGATGCTGAATCTTTTCCCAATCAATCAGATTTTCAGGACACACTGGAATTAGCCTATACATAACATATTCTCAGATCTAGTGTATTTTGTTAATGGTCTAGTAAAACACACTTTATCATGAAGCATTTTAAAATAAATCATATTTTATCTTAATGTGTTTAATAGCTTTCATTTTCTATATTTTTCTTTTATTTTGTGTTTAATGTTAAATATTTGCACAGGGCCATGCTAATCTCTATATTGTTCCAATTTTAGTATATGTGCTGCTGAAGCAAGCACTACATTTTCTGCTAGTAAAAAATAAGTCAGTCCATGGTGGCTCTCGTCTGTAATTCTAGCACTTTTAGGAGGATATCAGATGAATTGCCTGAGCTTGGGAATTCAAGACCAGCCCCTACAGGAGTGAGATCCCATCTCTACTAAAAATAGAAAAAAATATTAGCCAGCCATGGTTGCATGTGCCTATAGTCCCAGCTATTCTGGAGGCTGAGACAAAAAGATTGCTTGAGCCCAAGAGTTTGAGGTTGCTGTGAGCTAGGACTCCACAGTACTCTACCCAGGGTGATAGAGTGAGACTCTGTCTCAAAAATAAATGAATAAAAATTTTTTAAAAATAAAATTATATGCTAGCTATTGGACCAACTAGTTTTTAGCCATATTTTTCTCTTTTATTAAATAAATTGAAAAGGTTCAATTATAATGTCCAAAAAAATTATTTTGATTATAATAAATTCTAGTATTATTCTTCAAGACAGAACGCCCCGGTTCCCATATGCTCCCACATTTAACTATAGGAGGACTACCATGCTTTTATCACAAAACTAGCTTCCATAGTAAAATAACGAAAAATATTAGCTATAAATGGTGCTGCATAATTATAAATTTTTTTAAAAAGCACATTAAAGTCAATTTGTTTTTAATAACTTCGTATATTAGGTTTCTCTCAAAGGAGCAGGATCACTAAGATGGGATATGTTACAGTGATTATGTCCTGCACCTGGTGCCCCAGCCAGCTCTGTGGAGCTGGGGTGTGGGGGGTCCTCGGACAGACCAGCTGCAGCTGCCGCTGCCTTGGCTATGTTGGTGCGGTGGCAGCAAGCGGAGGAGCCAGCGGGCCGGAGGGTAGGCAGGGGCCAGACAACTGCTGGGGAGACACCAGCACCTTAGACTTCCCTCCCCTTCCACTTACCGCTAAACAGGGAAACTCCTAGGCCTGGTCAATTTCATGTAAGTTTCCCACGCCTGGGAATAAAAGGGATTGTAGCCATTCATTTGGGACCCAAACATGGCCCAGATACGCTGTCCCAGTACATGACCCAGACATGTCCCAGACACGCTAAATGTAACTACCAAGCCCTGCTAAGTGTAACTACAGAGGGCCCCATGTGACTATATAAACCTCTAGACAAAGAGAGAGAGCTTTTCCCTCTCTCTCGACTTGGGTTTTCTCTCCGGCTGGGAGCTTTGGTGTTTTTGTATTCTTTTCTGTAAATAAATCCTGTCTTACCACTGATCTGTGGTCTGCGAAGTCATTCTTCAAATCACTGAGACCAAGAACCTACTGAAGACTAAATTTGGTATCCACAGGATTTGGACTTCCCATAGTCCTGACAGCGGGTTGGCATTCTCGGTAAGGCTCTGGTCTTCCGGTCTGACGCTGCACCGGCAATCGGGAAGGGAAGGCGGATGAACGCGAGGTGGGAAGAGCAAGAACAGCCGCAACCCACAAGCTCCAGCCTCGTCAGCTCTTGTTGTTATCTCCGACCTTTATGGTGTGAGTGTCTTGTAGAAACCAGAGCCTTTTTTCATATAGTTAAACACACACAATATGCCCCAGCGTCAGGAAAACTGGAGAAGGAACCAGGGAAAGGGGCAGCGATTGCGAACCCAGCTGCTGCCTCTTTGCCAACGAAATGAGGCAGCAGATAAAAGCTACAGGAGGGCCCCAGCTTCCCTTCCATCCACCCCGTCCCTCGGGCTCTCCCCTGTGGGGCACCCTAACCAGAAACCCAGGAAAGGGAAGTGTAGGCGATGTGACACATTTCAAAGCCACAACGGTCTACTATTTGTCAACCTGGCACCCACACACGTGTTCTTAAACCATACATCTCCAATAACAAAATAAAATCACATTTTCAGGAAGCATACGTCTCCCACACACAACCAAAAACTAACACTAATCCTTTTCTGAGGCGTGGACGTAAAGTCCCTTTGTTGTCCTTGAATGTGTATTCTTCCCCACTTTTCCCGTCTTTTAACTTAAAATACTGAGGTATAAAGTTAAGTACGTTGAATTCATTTTATGTTAGATGATAAAAGAATAAGAAGGGAGAATAAGAAAATATTTGGTTAATAGGTACTAAAATTAAAAATAGACATAAGAATTACATTTTTGCACGCAGTCTTGTGCTTTTAGCTCTTACCTTTCATAACTGACTTGCTCTCGGCAAAACCCCTGTGTTCGCCGTGGTTCCTCATCAGGTGAAGTAGATAAACCAATTCTGTTAGGTCCAGGTGATTTAAATAACAACTTTGCTTTTCTTTCATAATCTAGCTAGCAAATTATCTCTCAGTGGTTCTTTTAATATCCCTTAAAATGTGTAGAATTCAGCAAGGTGAGTGCTACTGCTGCAGCTAAACTCTTTCCTCTCCCATCTGCTTGTACGTGTGAATAAATGTGTTTATTTCTAATATCAACACAAATAGGAAAGAAATTAATGCTAAACCTTGTCTCATTCTAGAAATACTCATCCAGATACATAAAGGAGTTGAAAAAATATAGTAATTTGTTCCTAATGCAAGCTTAATTTTTCCTTTATCAAAATCTAGAGCATACTGTATTTATTACTTTAATCAACTGCGCACAAAAAATATAACTCTAATAACAACCCAATCTAAATAATGTTTTTAACTGAGCCTTAAGGTCGCAGGAAATAAAACTAATTATAAGGCCTTTATTTACACACATATATTTGTTGCAGAAGAAACAAGAGCAACCAATAAGAGACTTTCAGGGACAAAAATGCATTATGTTAGAATAAAATGGTGTGGGGTAATGAAACAGAAACATAAGTTCAAGGAGAAAAAGTAAAGAAATAAAATGTCATACCTTAACTATTACAGAAGAGCTTTTACAGTAAACAAAATCTTGTTCATGTCTTTTTAAAATGATAGTAGGGCCCAGGTACGGTGGCTCATGCCTATAATCCCAGCACTCTGGAAGGCCAAGGTAGGTGGATCACTTGAACTCTAAAGTTCAAGACCAGCCTGAGCGAGCGAGCGAGAGACCCTCCCCCATCTCAAAAAAAAAAAAAAAAAAAAACTAGCCAGGCATTGTGGCCTTACCTGTAGTCCCAGCTTCAGCAAGAGGACTGCTTGAGCCCAAGAGTTTGAGGCTGTCGTGAGCTATGACACCAGGGACCTTGGTAGAGACCAAGGGCAACACAGTGAGATTCTGTCTCAAAAAAAGTAATCATAAAATAAAATGATAGTAGGTATCAGATCATTGTGGTATTTCGATTCCATTGGATGTAGTTAACAGAAAAATACATCACTTTTGATATAAGATGTTAATAACCCTTACATGCCAGAAATTGTATCCTTTGCTACTATATAAATCTGTAATGAAAAATTTTAGATGTCAACTGAAAGGTGTTCAAGGAGTACATGGTTATCAAAACGAAGTTTGTGTAGGTGTATGTAAGCAAAAACTACCAGCTAAGTCCTTCTGAGCTTTTATTACTTAACCACTGTATTAAGCTTTTCTTATAATTCAATGCTCTGGAGACAACTCTGTGAGGTAGATTTTATTATCATCATTTTATAGAAGAAGAAAACAGGATATAACAAGTGTCCTGTCATATATAATTTACTTTTAAATATTTCAACATAAACACTGTGCTATAAATACATATATTAGTAAGTTCAGGCTACACCCTGTGACAGTCGTTGCCCTAAACAGAAGTCTGCACTCCAGGAGTGGTTAGTTGGCATTTAATCAAAGGCTCCACTCCAAAGGGGGTTACTATAAGTTTCTCAGCTATTTTTATCTCAAACCAGCGCTTGAAGTTTTTTCACTAGCATAATGGACGTGAGAATGAGTTTCCATTGATAAAATTAATACTTTGCTCAAATGACTTTAGTCATTTTATAGATGACTAAAATAATTTAAAGAACCTACCTGCATGAATGGCACTTAGCCCTTATCAACAACCCTCCAGGTTGATTTATAAAAGGTCCTGAGTCCACCTGCTGATTCCAGAGGATTCTGGGTAGTTTGATTCCAACCCAGTGATTCACAAAATCCTCCCACTAGAGTACAGTCACTTAGATGCAACTTTTATGCAAGGATCAGTAAAAATATGTGCTGGAATTTTGTAAGGTTTACTGAAGAGGGAGTAGGCATGGTTTGTACCTGCTCCCTAATAAACATTTATGTGTAGCAGAGTTCTGCCGGAGACCTCTATTCCTTGAAAGTAGTAAAGTGGCAGAAATTCATGCAACATGATCCTACTACCCCAAATATCAAAGTGTGCCCACTATCTCCCAAGACAGTATGTGCTTCGCCAACCTGGCTTAGACACATTGGCACAAAAGCTAAAGAAACTCATGCAAAGTGACACAGCTGGTAGTGATCAAGCTGGGACTAGAACCCACAGCTATCTGCCTTTAAAACCTCCTCCTCCCATGGAATCCATGGAAGGCAGTAATTCAGGATTGTCACAGGAATGGGGGTCAGGGAGTAGAGCCGCATAATAGATAATTTTCAAATGCCTATTTCCAGGCAGGTTTGAGGCTTAGTTGAGCTTTCCTCCAAAAAAGCAAACTTCCAGGAAGTGTCAACTGAGCAGTGCTAAAGTAGAAATTCTTTGCTCTAATTCAGCTCCAAGTGGCCCAACAGCCAGGCAGATAACCACACGCAACTATGGGCAGAGGGGAAATGGCTCTGAGGGGAAATTCTTGTGGTGCTGGAAATGGCAATCACACGGTACAGCTGCTGTGACTTAGTCTTTTAAAGGTTCTTCATTCTCTCACTGAAGGCCAGGCCCTGAAGTAAAGAACAGTAAACGGTTTCTGGAGGAGTCTGCTCCTGCTAGTAGCACTCCAAACATCAAGTGGCTTTGTGCTTTGTCTTTACTGCTGAACCCCAACTGTCACATGGTGGTTGACTTTTCTTTCTCCGCAGGTATACCTTGTGCAGATCTGACTTTCTAGGTAACGACACATTATTTTCACAGTCCATGTAGTTTACACCTCCTCAGCTATGTTTGATACAAAGC